AGATTTCCCAGCCTACCACATCTTCTTCAAACCGCCAGCAGTCACCTATCTGAACCACAAGAACGAAAAGCGTCTGATGGTAGTCAGTGAAATCGAGAAGTACTGCGACGGAACACTGAAGATAATCAGAGAGCAGATTCTACAGATGAAGGCAAAGCTGGAAGAAAATCTTCAAGAGGCATCGTCTTATGTTCAAAAGGAACACTCTACTGTAGAGACAATTTTATAGGCCATTGACGATCGCCTCGAAAAGAGAAATATGCTAAGACAGTATGAACATGCACTTGGATTGAGAAAGCACTACTTCAAATCACAGAAGCAATAAGAAAATGGCACTTGATCACAAAGGGGGAGATTGTTGGAGATATTTAATTGTGAATCAAGTTGGTCATAGATTAGCTTTATATTTAATCCTTGTATTTAAATAGTGCATAAATTAGATAGAAATCAGGCCACGTGTTAGGCCCATTTAAACAGGCCAAAAGCCTGGTACGCCTAACCTAAACCTCGCCTATAAAAAGGGAGCCGAGGTTTAGGAATAGGCTGAACGTCGTACTTATTATTTCATAGCCTTACGCTTATCATTCTGCTGTACGTTCCACGGTTTATCAAAGAAGGTTTTACGGTGATTCATTCTGTTCCATCTTTACGTTTAATCTTCCTTTGTTAGATCGATTATTCATTGCTGTTAAAGAAACAGGGACTAACACAATATTCTCTAAAATATCTATGTGACCATCATGAATTACAGGAATTCATAGTTGTGAGATCAACTATACTTTCTAAAAGTATGATGCAGTCCACATACCAATCTTATCGCATATCGTCAATATCCCATTCTCGATGATCATTGATTGGGGCTATTGACAACATAAGTCCAAGGGAACACAATTATGAATAAGATATTGACAGTCGAAATACTTAATCATCAATGTGTAATACCGTATATATCAAATATATAAAAATGAATGTGATCAAATACATATATCTCTAAAAGGTGACTGTCGCTAGAACATATATGCTAACATGATGTACGCAGTTTTACCCCTATACTAAAGCACAGAGAGAGTATTTCTGGATGACCCGTGGTGAAAATCGCACCATAAATTGCATGAGCTGACTGTTGCTTAATAACAAAGAAGCGCGAACAAATTTAGTGAGCCATTTTTCTTTATTCCATCATATTCACAAGTAAAAAAATAGTGAATCTTTGGCTCCATTGCAAATGCAGATAATATATATGTTGACAATGCATTTATACGAATTGCATTTTTTACACAAATTATCCGAGTAAAATTGACAAATATGTGAAAATATGTGAAAGTGTGTTGGATATTATTTGAAGCTCATCCATTGTGATCATTTGAAGCCTCCATTATTACTCCATAAAATCCCTCTTTAGAGCTAACCCTTCATTTCTACCAAACCTCCCTTACGTTCCAAATCAATCAATCAGCTATAACTTCCAGCACTCCATTTCTTCCGTTTCAAATTAATCGGCCAGCCATTTCTTCCCAGCATTCCATTAATTTCGTTCAAAATCAATCGGCAGGCTATCTTTCCAACTAATCACTCCTCAAACCTCAGAGCCGGTCAAGTTTATATCACTCTACACCGATTCTCTGCCACCCTAATCGCCCGCCACACCGCCAACCTGCGGTAGTCCTCCTCCGCCTGGAAAGCATCGTCCGCCACTCTAATCTCATTAAGAACGGTAAGAATACTTTACCCGATAGAACTCTCACGCCAGCTCCAGCTATCCTAAGAGAAACTTCGGAGGGAACCAGCTACTAGACGGTTCGATTAGTCTTTCGCCCCTATACCCAAGTCAGACGAACGATTTGCACGTCAGTATCACTGCGGGCCTCCACCAGAGTTTCCTCTGGCTTCGCCCCGCTCAGGCATAGTTCACCATCTTTCGGGTCCCGACAGGTATGCTCACACTCGAACCCTTCTCAAAAGATCAAGGTCGGTCGACGGTGCACCCCCAGAGGGGATCCCACCAATCAGCTTCCTTACGCCTTACGGGTTTTATTGCCCGTTGACTCGCACACATGTCAGACTCCTTGGTCCGTGTTTCAAGACGGGTCAAATGGAGAGTCCACGGGTCAGCAACCGGAGCGCGCAGGTGCCGAAGCACGCCAAGGGCGCACGCTGCTTCCCACGATCCGGGGGACGGTATTCCTAAGGCAAATCAAATGCCAAGGCTTCGGCCGCCACCCGAATCCTCGCTGGTCCACACCCCGAGTTGATCTGCAGACCGGCTCATCACCGTTCCACATCCAACCGGGGCACATCGCCGGTCTCCATCCGCTTCCCTCCCGACAATTTCAAGCACTCTTTGACTCTCTTTTCAAAGTCCTTTTCATCTTTTCCTCGCGGTACTTGTTCGCTATCGGACTCTCGCCTATATTTAGCCTTGGACGGAATTCACCACCCGATTTGGGCTGCATTCCCAAACAACCCGACTCTTAGACAACGCTTCGTGGTGCGGCAGGGTCCGGGCACAACGGGGCTCTCACCCTCTCTAGTGCCCATTTCCAGGGGACTTGGGCCCGGTCCGCCGCTGAGGACGCTTCTCCAGACTACAATTCGAACGACGTGGCCATCCGATTCTAAGGCTGGGCTCTTCCCGGTTCGCTCGCCGTTTCTAAGGGAATCCTTGTAAGTTTCTTCTCCTCCGCTTATTGATATGCTTAAACTCAGCGGGTAGTCCCGCCTGACCTGGGATCGCACTTCGTAAGCCAAATCACTTTGACTCGAAAGGGTCTGATATCCGCAAACGATTGAACGTGGAACGACGTTTGCACTCTAGGCACAACCACCAATCGCCAAAACGTCCATCAACAGTATCAAGCATTTGGTCCCACCGCACCATACAATAGGCACGGGAGGACATGATCCGCTCCTCCCCAAATCTAGAAGGGAGCGACACGTCACGTGACACCCAGGCAGACGTGCCCTAAGCCTGATGGCCTTGGGCGCAACTTGCGTTCAAAGACTCGATGGTTCACGGGATTCAGCAATTCACACCAAGTATCGCATTTCGCTACGTTCTTCATCAATGCGAGAGCCGAGATATCCGCTGCCGTGAGTCATATTGTTTATAAAGATGCTAACAATGCCCGCAGAACCGCGAACGGAGTAGGGCAAGGCAGCAATCTCAATTTAGTAATCCTTGGCGCATACCGCGCCGGGGGTTTGTTGTTCATCATGGTCGCACCCAAAAGCACAACCACAACGAAATTGCATTGGTATTTTGGCACAAGTTCTCAAGTCAAACTGCTTGGCAGGTTTCGGCAATGATCCTTCCGCAGGTTCACCTACGGAAACCTTGTTACGACTTCTCCTTCCTCTAAATGATAAGGTTCAGTGGACTTCTCGCAACGTCGAAGGCAGCGAACCGCCCACGTCGCCACGATCCGAGCACTTCACCGGATCATTCAATCGGTAGGAACGACAGATTATTAATTTGTTATTTAAAATTGTTAATTGTTACCTAAAATGGAAATTAAATTAGAACCTTTATATGAAACGTTCGAAAAAGTAAAAAGAGAATTTTTTTATGAGACGGAAAAACTAATATTTTGGAAAAAAATTAATAAGGTTATAGATTGAGAAAGTGAATGAGTTTTATCACCACCACCACCACCATTACTATTATTGTTGTTGTTGTTATTAAGAACTGAGTTGTGTCATTACCATCATGCATGCATTTTTGTCGTCCATTCCGCCAACAATGTTCAATGATTAGTTCAGCTTCCTGAAATGTAATGCTGGATTTAAATTATATGCCTAATCGTTACATATCAATCTTATTTTTGGTCAAAATTTTCACCAAATACATAATTTTTTATTTCACACGCTCATTACAAAAATATCATACGAAGTATTATGCAAGGATATATTTTGGCTCAGGATGTGGCTACATATCCCATGTATACACAGGCAATTGCATATTTTTTTAAACGAATTGTCTGTGTACATGCACAACCAATTGTACACGAATCCCCTGATTGTTGCGTACACAGACCGTTCGTTAAATAAAAGTTTGATTTGCCTAAGTACACGGGATGCATACATTTCAGAATTAAAAAAAGTACAGAAATAATTATATTGTGAATCAGTTGGGAGAATGTTCTAAACACATGGATCATTTATTTGATGTTGCATGAATAATATATACTCCACATGGGTCACAATTGGCTACGTAGTAAATACAATGCAATAAAGTCATGTTATATTAGTCATTTTACCCCACTTTATTAATATTTGAACCCAAAAAGTGTAGGATCATCAATTTGGAACGGATGGAATAATAAAATAAATAGTCTCATATAAAAATATCACCTAATTCAAAAAAACATTTCAGAATAGACTAAGACCTCAATCAATATAGGGTTTGAAGTGACTAGTCAAATTTTCCAGGGGAAAATTCATAAAAACAAAACCCTAGTGAAATTTCTTGGCGATTCCAAAAACAACCGCCGATAGATGCGATTGGGTAGTTAGGTAGGAAGTAGAATTTAAAAAGTATATTAATTAAATAAAGGTAAGAACATTTTAAAAATATACTCAGTAAAAACTAATCTTATTTTTGTCTTTTAAAGATGTAGAAGCACTATTTTTACCATTTTTGCTAGAATAAAACAGTAAAGGACCCAACTTGGAATAAAAAATAGTTTACCTAGAGTGAAAACTAGGACCGACGCTAAGGACTAAAACACTAAATTATGTCACGCTGTTCCTTTCTACAATCTACAATCTACATACATGAAAAAACGCATTGGTTCCGTATAGGTGCACGATGACAATATATTAAAAGCAATGAATAGAAAGCTCAAAAGCGGTCCCATGGTCTAGCGGTTAGGACATTGGACTCTGAATCCAGTAACCCGAGTTCAAGTCTCGGTGGGACCTTTTTTTCTACAATTTTTTCTCACTATACTTGCGCATATGCAACGCCTTCTTCAAAGCAGTTTTGTACTGTGTTTTTGGTTCCCAATCTCTTATTTTTCACTTTCTTATAACATGGTTACCAAAAATTCATGTCAAATCAAATCTTATCTCTATTACTCCGTATTTGCCAGCATTTCAGGAGGAAACATTGAAGAATTATAATTTGTACGGAGTATAATTTAGGATAGTAATATACTCAGCACAAATTCGTTCCAAACAACAACAATACAGAGAGATTGTTTTAGAGGCATCTTTGATCAAGCCAATTCAAGATATCAGTTCGGACGATCTGGACATTTTCATCGGTCTCCCCGAACAACAACGAATGCATCATCCCCTCATAAATCTTGATGCTTTTGTCCTTGCTTCTTGCCATCTCATACAATTCCCTGCTCACTTCCGGATCCGTGACCACATCGTCTTTCCCATGAAACACAATGAACGGAAAAGCAACATCGCATATTTTGCTGCTAACATAATCAGTAACCCTCAACAGCTCCACCACTGTTCCCAACCTTGGTCTCCCTCTATACCTGTTAAGAGGGAGTGTTTGTTATAGAAGATTATTAAGACAACCAAATTGATTTGATTCAGTCGTTTAGTAACTCGTTACGATGGGAAGTTCTTGCTTACAAATGTAAGTAGACAACACATTGAATGAAGTTATTTCCCATTCAAAAAGCTTTCAGCTTTGGTTCCTTGAATATAACATGGAGAAAATATATTGAGCATGCCAACATGTTCACTACGGAGCACGATGGCGTGATGAATGGTCAGTATTCATTCATCTAAAATTTGTATAGATATCTTAGGCATTCATAACACCAACATGCTCCGTATTGAGTACATTGGCGTGCTCCATATATTTTCTCATATAACAATCCAATATCCATTTTCGAACCATGTCTTTCATTATTTTCACCTTTTGTTGCGCGGCAATGGATATTTGTCGCTTTTGGTCATTTTTGTCCACTAATCCAATGAAAATCGATAAGTACTACAGAAACTGACTGGATAAGTGGCTGAAGGGACGAGAAGCGACAACAGATCTATAATAGGACCAATGTGGACTCATAGGAGTAAAAGTTGAATATTTTATTTTTCCTACAGAGCAAGCATACTTTTACCGCAGGTAAAGTGAAGTTATCAAGAATAACTACTGGACCATTTTATTTCTTTGTCATTTTGGGGCTATATTGATTATATTGGGCCTTAGTTGTATTTTGTATTAGGTTTATATACTCCCTATACATTGTAAATCAGAAGCTAAGCGTTCATTCCAAATTGTAATCTTCTTCTGCAACTTTCTCTCCGTAATCAACTTTCATTCATCTTCTTTGATCTTGGAGCACAAACCTTCACAGAAGTGTTCTTTTAATTTCAACCAAAAAAGAATGAAAGGGAGTTGATGCTAAAGTGGTTCCCTTGATCAAAAGGCCGCTATCTATGCAAAGCTTAGGCCATGTTTGGTCAATTGGTCGCATACTTGCATTGATTAGTTTAGCACGCTTATTCTGCCTATGAACTCTTTATTTGGTTGAAGTTTACATTACCTACTGCTTCGGACAATTCAGCTCAAAATATATACCAAAAGACCCTTATATGATCAGATTGATTGACTTCTGCCTACTTAGGAAGAAAGTAAAAGAGTCTACCTGTGCGGATTCATCCGGGCAATGATTTTCTTCTCCGGGACTTTAACAGACTTGTCAAGCAAATCAGCAGTAGGCACCATTGGGAGAGTGGGTGCAAAAATGGAAAGGGCAGTCAAGATTTGAGGGATGGGCCAAGAAGGTCTGACCTTTTCAGAGATTCTACACATGGGAGCTATTAAGATGGCACCATTACTGAACCGGTCGGGGTTCTTGAGGTGGATCAGCAGACAAATAGCTCCTCCCATGGACTCGCCGAACAAGAATTGGGGAAGGTCCTGGAATTGGGGGTTCTGGAGGGTGATGGAATTGAAGAATGAGAGACAGTCCTCTATAACAAGATCCAGATTGGGTACATACCCCTTGAGGCCCTGGGACTGGCCATGACCTTCCAGATCAAGGGCAAAGCAAGCATACCCATTCTGGGCTAGGAAGATTGGGGTTGCCTGAAATGTCCAGCTGATGTCATTCCCGTACCCATGGACCATAAATATGACGCCACGTGGCGATCGGTTGCAGGTCTCTGTGGGTACCCATGATCTGGTGAATAGGGTCAAGCCTCTAGGGGAGTGGAAGAAAGACTTGGACGAATTGATACCTTGAAGAGCATAGTAGTCTTCCTCTGGGATGCCTCCCCAATAATATGGTTGGTGTTGGGTTTCCATAGCGGGTTTCTCCCCGCCGAGAAATATGACAGGAAGGGTGTCTAGAGCATCTCCACCAATGCTAAAACTTTAATTTGGTTAAGTGGCACAAGAAATAATCAATTAAAAAAATAATAAATAGAATATCTTTCTCTTTATTTGAAGAATCTTACATCATTTTGATAAATTTTTCTTCACAATGTCAAACACAATGTCTAGATGTAGATATTGTGGTTGACATTGCAAACAAAAACTTACAAAAAACACATAAGACCGTAGAAAGAATGAGAGAAAATGTCATAAAATCAATATTTTGTGTCTATCTCTCTCATGCCACATGTGCACCGTGCAGATTGTAGCATTGGAGATGTTCTTAGACGATCAACAATTCCACATTCCTGCATCTTAAAAGTATATTTTTTAGCAGAGCTACATATCCGACCTACTCTGGAGACAGAGATCATTGGAGCACAGGATGGTGACAAAGAGTGTGCCAAGCTATTAGAGCTTACCTCCAAGGGAGAGAGACCGGAATTCACTGTTCGGGCCAACAAGGGTTTATACCACCATAATAAATTGGTGGTTCCATAAGGAGAGATGTGAGATAACGAGTCCTTCGAGAAGCACATGTGGCCAAGTACTCCATGCATCCAGGAAGTAATAAAATGTACCAAGATTTGAGGAGAGAATATTGGTGGTCAGGGAATAAGAGGGACATAACCGAGTATACAACACGGTGTCTAACATGTCAGCAAGTTAAAGCGAACATCAAGTTCCAGCTGGGTTGCTACAGCCCATCGCAATACCACAGTGGAAGTGGGAATGCATCACCATGGATTTTGTGACAGGCTTACCATTAACTCCAAAGAAACACGATGCATTATGGGTTATAGTCGATCGTCTCACCAAATCGGCTCACTTTTTACTTGTCAGGAGAGACTTCCCACTTCACAAGGTTAGCCGAGCCGTATATTCACGAGATCGTTAGATTACATGGAGTGCCATTATCCATTGTATCTGATAGAGATCCCCGATTTACATCTAAATTTTGGGGCAGTTTGCAAACAACACTTGGATCCAAACTTCATTTTAGTACAACTTTGCATCCACAAACAGATGGTCAATCGGAGATGGTTATACAAATCCTTTAAGACATGATGAGGGGATGCATAATAGATTTTGAAGGAAGTTGGGAAAAGTATCTACCACTAATGGAGTTTGCCTATAACAATAGTGATCAGGCTAGCATTAAAATGGCACCATATGAAGCTCTATATGGTAGGAAATGCAGAACTCCAATATGTTGGACTGAGTTGAGAGAAAAGAAGATAATTAGGCCTGACTTAATACTTGAAACAGAAGAAAAGGTGAGATTGATACAGCCATACAGGACAAACTTAAAGCCGCATCAGATAGGTAGAAATCATATGCCGACCTAAAGAGGTGAGAAATAGAATATGCAGTGGGTGAACGTGTATTCCTAAAGGTATCACCATGGAGGAAAGTTTTACGTTTTGGTAAAAAGGGAAAGTTGAGTCCAAGATTTATTGGGCCTTATGAAGTAATTGAGCGAATTGGTCCGGTAGCTTGCAGACTAGCGTTACCCCTAGAGTTGAGCCAAAGACATGACATGTTTCATGTGTCCATGTTGAGAAGGTACCGCTCTCACCCCTCACATGTATTGACACCTGGAGCCGTAGAAGTTGACAAGGATTTGACATATGAGGAGGAACCAGTTCAAATCTTATGCCGAGATGTAAAGGTCTTGAGGAACAAAAGAGTTCCCCTAGTTAAAGTTCTTTGGAAGCATCATGGCTCAGAAGAAGCCACTTGGGAAGCTGAAGAAACAATGCTTGCTCAATATCCCCACCTATTCCATGACACGACTCAAGGTAAATTTCGGGTCTAAATTTTATTAAAGGGGGAAAGAAATGTAACACCCTAAAATAAGGCCTAACTATTTATGGAAAATTTTAAAACACATTTCATCTTCATTTTAAGATAGGAATACTTTTGAATAGTTAAAATTTATGATGAATTAAATAAATAAGTAAATAAATAAAACACAACTTAAATAATAGAAACTATTGAAAAATTTAAAGTGTGTGATATTAATAAAGTATTAGAACTAAAGTGATGTTTAATAACTTAAATAGTCTTTAAGCACAACATATATACATATATACGTGTATACTTCACCCCAATAGCTAAGTTACGTTAGAGTAAGTGGGTCCCATCTCCACTCAAATTCACTAAAGCATTATCTTCTATTATACAAAGCCAAGAGAAAATCTGTACAGTGTTCCCGCCCAAACACTGTACAGTAACGGGTCGGGTCGAATTACCCATGGGTGTAGAAACGGGTATGCAGTAGCCCAGTGGCAGGTTTCAAACAGGCTCAGTACTCAAGGCTGGCAGTTCGGCTGAGTGGCTCTTTTATGAATTAAAAATTCCAAAAACTGTACTTATGAATCTTGAGCCTAAAAAATTATTTAATGAGTTGTACGAAACTATACTGGCCCAGTATCCAATGTTGGCAGTTCGGCTGAGGTTCAGTTTTATAAATTAAAAAATTCTAGATTTTGTACTTATAAATGTTGAGCCACAAAAAACATTTAATGAGTTGTACTATAATATAAATAATTTTCGTATCTCTCCCCACTAATTCGAAAGAAATGCTTCTGTAATGATTTTAAAAGGGAAGTAATTTGTACTTCAAATCTTAGATTCTAAAAAAAATTCTAAACCAATTCTTGAGCGACACAAACATTTAATGCACTGTACTATCTTTAAGTTGGAGGGTGTGTTTATCCCTTGGCTAATACCCCATTGGCTCAAACAATGCCCGAACCAGCCACTATAAATACCCAAGAGGAGGGTTTTGTAAACACACCACAAACAAGTAATTCTCGAATTCAACTCTAATCTAAACAATGGCAAGTTTATCGTCAACAGGGATGTGGTCCATGATCAAGGACATTGATCACACCAAGAGTACCTGGGCATTGACGGTTAGGATCGTAAGGGCTTATGAGGTGCCTTCTCACTCAAGAGGAGGGGAGACGCTCGAGATAGTTTGCATGACGCCGAGGTACAATTTATACTTCTAACAAACGATTTGTTTAATAATTATAGTACATTCATTGTGAACATTTGAATGTGTAAAATAGGGTGATCGGATTCATGCAACAATCAAGAGACCACAAGTTGCTATGTACAAGACAATGATAAAAGAGCATAAGATATATGCTATAAGAAACTTCTTAGTTCTTGACAATTACCAAACGGTAAAGATCACAAATCATCCCTATGTTATTCAGTTCATCTCCAAAACCTAATTCAGGGAAGACACGAAGACAAAATTGCCTATGATGGTCTACCATTTCCAACCATTTGATATGCTGCACGCCCAAAGGGTTATCAACGACAAAACTCTCATCGGTGAGTAAAATCAGATTATATACCTAAGTAGCTTAAGCAACTGTGCTAACAACAGTTTATACGATTATTTCAGATATCATTGGGAAAGTTATCAACAAAAACAGAAAGGCTAATGGAACTAACTGTGGCTGACCCAGAGTAATTTTTGTTTAATTCACAATGGTTTTGGTACAAGAATAATTTTTATGCTAAAGGCTAAAAACTTCTTAAAACGACAGGGGTAACAAACTGGGATGTGTCCTGTGGAACAAATACATAAACCAGTATCAGGATTATGTTAATGAGCACGCTGGAGTTCCTGTTTTGTGACATTTCAACTGTGTAGACCAAAGAGATATCAAGGTATTCAAACATTTAACTTTTCTAATTGGCCAATCGAGTTGCATAACTATGTTATTTATACGCAGGCACCCTAAGTGTGGCTTCATCCTTTGATGTGTCCAAACTCATTATCAATGGAAACACATCTGAATTCCTAGAGTTCCAAAGCAAGTACGATTAAATTTTTGTTTTTAATCTAATAATTGTAAGATAATAATAAACGGTTTTATACAAACAACTTATATTGCGCATAGAACAATGCACAGATTTCCAGCTGATGGTGATGACACAATAACTCAAACATGCAACACAAACTGCTCACAGAGTGAAGGGGGTAGGGATGTGCTTAGTGGTCATGCTGGCATAACCACTATGCAGGATTTGATGAATGCGACTGGGGTAGTTATTAATCTAAGAGCTTTTGTTGTAAACAATGTTCCTAATTGATTGTTATCATTATGTGTTAAAAACTTTTTGAATGAACAGGAGGAGATTTACTGGGTGCTTGGTGAGATCGTTTCTATAGATAATACTCGGGAGTGGTGCTACCTAAGCTGCCCAACATGTCACAAAAAGTTGGTACCGGAGGAGGAGAGGTTCAGGTGTTCGACTTGCAGTGTGACACTATCGGATGGAGTCTACAGGTACTATAATATCACCGAATTTCCACAAAGATCTATTGTTAACGGGGTAATTGTATTGGTTTACACTACATTCTTTTTTTAATATGAATTTCAAATAAACTAAAACCGGGCATGGATATATTAATGAAGGTATAAGGTCAGCGTGTGTATCATGGACAACACCGGGCATGGAAATTTCATTCTATGGGATAGGGAGTGCATAGAGATTCTGGGGAAAACTTCTGCAACCCTAATGACAGAAATCGAGAAGGTAACATCAATAATTTGGAAGGATTGGTTATGTTAGTTAATATTTCAAGGGGAGGGGCATTTTATTTAAATAAGTAACTTGGCAATGAATCAGAAAACGGGGGATCCAACACGTTTTCCAGAAGATGTTGAAAGTTTGATTGACAAAAAGGGAATATTTAAAATACAACTAAAGAAGAGAGGTGAAGAGAATGCCTACAAAGGTGGGATTTCTCTTGGAGTTGTTAGTATGATTCAGGATCCTATTGTGCTGGCAATGTATGAAGGAAAGACAGAGCAAATAGCAACAAATGAAAGCAATGAGTGTACCCCGGAGAAGGTATTTGCAAAAACTTTGTATATTCACTAAAAGTTTAGATTAAAAGATTATTCCTAAAAGTGATTTTTTTCATTTCAGATTGGTTCATGTGAAAATTTGGGAGAAAGCAATGACTCTATAAGAGAGAAGTCTACTGTGACTAAGGCCAAGGGGAAACGGATTTCTGCTGAGAAGGAGGTTAAATGCTCATCAACCTAACAGGCTTATAATATTTTGAGTGAAGAAATTCTGAAAATTGACTTTGTTTTTAATGCTACTAGGTTACTGCCGCAATTGAGCTCCCAGACACGCCCACCGCTTCGAAACAAAGGGAGGTTGTTGTTGAATTGAATGAGGAGATCAAAAGAAATCTCAATGATGAGTTTTCAAGCAATGGGAATGGAAAGAAGCTGA